TCTACAAAGATGCTAATTTAAATGTTTGATATATTTAAGGTATCTTCAAGATGAGGTCAAGAAAAATGTTAATGCTCTAATAACCAGTTTTATAAAGAAATTGGGTAAATAAGAATCTGTTGAAGAAGATACTGAAAAGATGCAATTAAAGGAGATTTGAATGAGGTAGATAAGGTGAAGGATGATATAAAAGTTGTAAATTTGTTAGAACACACAAAAGAATTATTTATAAATTTGTAAAATTTTTATATATTTATACATTTTGAAATCACATTTTAGTATTTTATTATTACATTATTATGATCACATTTCAAATAGTTAATTAAATAAATACCTTTTAAAAAAATTTAATTTCTTGATTAATTAAAATTTCTAATATTATGGCTTTCTAAATCATGTGATTTGGTTGATCGATGCATTGTCTCCTTACCAGATTTGAAACAGAAGACTGTCCCTCCTGGAGCGTATCCTGTCACACATTTCAGACGTGTAAAAGATTATGTGACGCGTCTTATACGCTCTTGAAAACTCTTATTTCTTATTTCAAAATTATACGTTCTCAAAAAACTCAAAATACGCAAAAGTATTTCTGAAAACCAAATTAATTTATTAGTCAAGATACAAGATATAAACAAGTTGTCATCACTTACCTGAAGTCTTAATTTTTAAGAACGTGAGTAAAGCTGAGAGAAACTTTTCTAACCATATACTTATATCAATTTCGTCAAGATTTTGCGAGTTTCTTTTGAAAAAGACACTTTGATCATCTTTTTTACAACTATGACAATCAATAAGCCCTTCTTCTGTTAAGAAAGAAATAAATTAATATTAATATACACAATAGCTTAAGAGTAATGGATGAAGACGATAAAGACAATAAAAACAATAAAGACTAAACAATATATCTTTTAACTGTTAAAAGGAAGATACGTAACTAATTCTTCTTCTGGAATCAGTAGACCTTATAACAGGAGTATACTCTATCTAGTAGTGTAAGTTGCACAATAACAATAACAATTACTTCATAAAAGAAGATATTACATTATCATACAAATAATACAAAGACATGTTTCGAAATAAGAAATAAAAGCAAAATATTTTTGAGTATTTGAGAATGTATAATTTCAAAATAAGAAATAAGAGTAAAGTATTTTTGGCAAATGTATCGAACTTGACCCTCTTCGTGGTCCTGTCTTGACCCTCTTGCCGATCTTATTTTAAAAACAATTGTTATTTATATAGTTATCGGCAAGAGGTCAACTTAATACCACAAGGAGGGCCAAGTTCAGACGTGGGATTGTGCATTTTAATACACATCGAGACGCTAGTATTTTTCTAAGTGCCATGAAAGGTAGAACGTTTAATATATCTAAAACTATAAAGATTAGATTTTCTGAAGCATATAAATTTGGAACAAAAAACCAATACAATATGAATAAATAAGTTCCTTTGTTATTAATGTTTAATATTTATTTTTTCTTTGCTAATACTTATTATTTTTGTTTGCTTATTTAGTTAGTACCTGAAGAAGTACAGACACCAGCACATTCCTATCTCAAGGCAGTGTTATCATGAGACGTTGATGGGACATTTGGAACATAGTGTGGACAGAACATAAATGTACATCACTGTCCCAAGGTTTGTATACCCTCGAAAAGATTGTATTAAAGGCACGGCAGCGGCATTGGAATGAGAAAATAGTAGTGTCAAAATTTATTAATATGAATTTAAGGAGTGCGTGTGATCGATTTCCATGATTTTACCAGTAAAGTATGCAAGTAAACGAAATAAACTGAAAAATATATATTTTCCTTAAATACATTGAAAATGCATAGATTATTCGTAACGAGATTCTCAACTAAACAAATTCTTGGAGGTTATCCTAATAAAGTTGAAATTCCTCTATAGCTAATTCAGAACCATTTCTAGAACCTTGGAAAATTTTCAATATGCTTCCTTGAAGGATGACATTATTGATAAATTAAAAATTATTTCTCAATAATGTTTATTAAATAATATTTAAAATGACATAAAGACAGCAAGTTCATATTGTAGTTGAGAAGAAATTTTGTTTTTACGAGGATGATACATTAAACCAGATACTGGATCGAAATGATCCATATCCGTCGGCATTCTCAATCTCAGATCCTTTATGCATAATTGATTTAACACATAATTAAACCTTAAGGTAGCTTCTAAGGGAACTGTAGTATCTTTAATACCATGAATAAATAATATTTTGGGAGGCATCAAACTTTTTAATTTATCAAGATTTATATCACTACTTTTCAAAGCATTTTCAAGAAGTATTGTAGGAGAATTCAAAGCAAAGTTCTCTTCTGTATCTCCCATTACTCGAGCCATTGCAGAAAGTTCCTCTAAACCACGCTTAGACTCCCACAAGAAATGTCTTGATATGTCATATACACCAGCTAAACTATTAGGAAGAATAATAATTAATCATTTTAATTGATCAATTTAAAAATATTTTCGTTACATAATAATTATGACTTACAGTATTAAACCATTAATTTTTGGTAATTCTAATTCTGGATCAATATCCACTAGCTTTGAATTGACCCGACCTTCTATAGTCTCGGATTTAATTATCGCATCTCGAATTGTTACGAGAGCAGCTAAATGGGCACCTGCGGAATGTCCCATGATATGGATCTTGTCGGGATCGCCACCGTATTTACTATAGAGCATATAATCATATAATTTAATAATAATCATAAAGCATATATCAAAAAAAAAAAAAAAAAAAAAAAATCATACAAACTTACTTGATATATTTACTTGTCCAAATTAAAGACAATTTTACATCGGAAATCATCGAATCAATCTTTCCCTAAAAAAAAAATTAATTGTATTTTAAATAATTGTAAAGAAATAATCATAGCAATACATTTAGAGCGTCACATACGTTTGGATACAAAGTATAATTAGGAACAACTACTACATAACCCAACCTTCTTAGCCGGAGGGCTAAAAGAATGTACAAGAGCTTATCCCCTGTTTAAAAGATTTTGATGTTAATTTCTCAACAAAATACCTGGAATAAACATATGCTAAGGAAATCTTTTAATACCACTACTCCAACCTCCACCATAAAGAAACACGATCACTGGATGTGTAGCTTCAACATAAAGTTGTTGTTGTAATTTTGCGGTATCCGGAATGTAAAGGTCGAGACGATTTGTATTCAAATGGCTTCCATAATAAATATTTTCTCTTTAATCAAAAAAAATAAATTTGTTAATATACGCTTGCTTTCAAATAATAATAATATTATTATAGTTTACTTTATAATTTGTCGACGCTTTCTCTTTAATACAAAAAATCTTTGATACCCATATTCTGCTAATAATGGCAAAAATGGGATGACAGACCATAACGCTTGAAATAAAACATAATTAACTTTTATTATGCGCATGGGATTAAAAGGAACATTAAATTTCCGATCTGTTTGGGCTATAATTTTTTTTATATTCACAGACGATAAAACGATTAAAAAAAGAGAGAAAAAGAGAAAATTTAATTAATCAAGATTTAATAAAGTTCAATCATAATTACCAAGGATTAAATATGCCACCCATACAATACAATAAGCACTGACTAAAATTTGAATTTATAATTATTAGTTAATTGATATTTTTTCAAAAAGGTAGAGTGAGGCTTTCGAACTTACCAATAGCACACCCAATCACGATCGGGGAAAAAACCCACCCAAAGAAAGCAAAAGGAGGAATTAACATTAGCGGTAAGAAGCTTAAACCAAATAGACACGAACAAACAAGTACGATAATAAGTACGTATAGCATTATATGATTTCGCAATTCTGACATTCCTAGCTTCTTGTAGTAAAAAATGTTTTCAAGGGGTGGGTTTTTCAGCTGTGAATTGCTATAAGTTTTAACCTAATAAAGTAGGAAAGCCGATATGTTTAATATCTATCAGATATGAAAGTAGACTTTTTATTTTACAAAAAAAAAAAAACAATTTGCTTCTAATCGTCCATCATTTTGTATATTTGTTACTTTAAAAGATCAAAAAAGGGCTGCAGAATTATAGCTGATCCAAATTTTGTTTATATACTAATTTTTTTTTTTTTTTGGTGATTTAGGAAATTATTATGCCTCCAAAACAGACACCGTATCAATTCAAAAAAGGCCTTACTTATGTTAAACCGGTAAGTACATTTAATAATTGAATTGATGAAAAATTAACCGATATTGAATTTTTAAATTTTATAATGGTTTAGCTTCCAAGTTTCTTGCAAGAGTTAACCGGACAGACAAATAATTATGATGATGATGATGATGAAAGACCTCAAATTGCAAATGAAGGTATAAATAATGAAGAACCTTCAGACGATGAGCTTAATGCGAAACGGGAAGAAGAAAGACCTCAAATTGTAGTATTAAAAGAAGGAAAACACATGAGCGAACAAGAAGTCAAAGTGTATCTGGACTCTAAGGCGAAATCTAAAGAAAAGGGTATATATATTTTTGTAACGAAAAATCTTTTTTTTTTTCATATAGACGGCAATAATAAATCATTATTTAATGTTTTGATTAAAGATTCTTCGGAGGAGGATGATAAGGAAAGTGATGTAGATGATACTCCTATTATAGATGAGAAAACGGGCAAACTCCTTTTTCGCAAACCAAAAGCAAAAAAAGCGTCTAAAAAAAGTAAATCAGAAACGATCGTTGGATCTCATTCAAAGGCAAAAAATGAATCGAATATGTCTATAAAATCAATTAATGAAGCCATTGATGTGATGAAACGAAAGCGAGGTGATAGCAAGGATGATACTGAAAAAGATACTAATTCAGAAAAGAAGGCTAAAACAACAAAAAAGAAATCGCAAAAAGCAAAAGTCCATTTGAGTTTTAACAATGATGAAATATGAATAATAACATACCCACCAATAAAAGGTCATCATTGTAGATCATAAATAAAACAAAATCATATTAATTTTGATATATTAAAAAATGCCTTTTTCTTTTGTACATTACCTTCAAAATAAACGCATTATACTCGCTTCTGGTTCCCAACGTCGACAAGAAATTTTATCAAAGTTGGTATGGAAAATTTTTATAATGTAATTAAATCTCAAGAAATAAACCATTTTTTTTTTTTTAATAAATTAATTTTAAATTAAGGGGTTGAGTTTCGATGTGGTGCCAAGTAAATTTCCTGAAAATTTGGATAAATCAAAATATACACCTTTTGAATATGTAATCGACAATGCCATCGAGAAGGGTTTAGAAGTTTATGGACGATTAGTGGTTCGTATATATAGTTCTTCATAGTATATATATATATATTTATTTTATTTTATTTAAAATGTAAAATGTAATAATTATAAAAAGCAAGAAGATCAAGAGATTGACATCGTGATTGCAGCTGATACGGTTGTTTCCATAGATGGTAATATTTTGGAAAAGCCAAAAGACACCGAAGATGCATTGCGAATTTTAAAGAAACTTAATGGGAGATCACACCAAGTTTACACGGGAATTGCTTTAATATATCCTTTATCAGAACCTGTTCATCCAGGTTATAATATTATTTCCTTTGTAGAAGAAACTGAAGTCATATTCAGAGAATGCAGTGAAGAAGATTTTAAGGTTTATATAAAAACCGGTGAACCGATGGATAAAGCGGGTGCTTATGGTTATCAAGGACTTGGTTCATTCTTTGTTGAAAAGATTAACGGGTATAAATTTTATATAATTCTTTATATTATCTGTAAATCTATAAATCTATATATACTCTATATATTCTATATTAAAGTACTTGTTTGCTTATGATAGGTGTTATTATAATGTAGTTGGACTTCCATCCAAAGTCTTTAAAGAATTAGAGAAATTAGTAAAGGATGAAGAAATTTGATAAATTTACCAAAGATCTTCAAAATAAATATTAAATGACCAATAAACAATATCCTTAATTTGCTCGAAATACAAAAAAAGAATTGAAATGATAACAATTGCAATTGAAGATATTATAATTGATTTTAAACTAGGGAAAGTTTTTGATGAATCAATAGAACTATTTGTCGCGTTTTTAATTTGTTTGCGTGACAAATCAATTTTTTTTGATAAATCAGCTTCCTTCGCACCATAATGTTTCGCCAATTGAAGTGCGGCAAATGCATCACCATATTTCTTTTGTTCAAGCAATATACTTCCTATTTTATGGATTAAAAAAAAAAGATTTAATTTCAAATGTCATAATGAAGAAATAAATAAAGATTGTTCCTTGCCTTTACGGTAATACCCTTTCGGCCATTTAGTGTTTATTCTGATACATTCTTCTGCATGAATTAAAGCATCATTTAATTCATTAAGTTTTAACAACACTTGAGCTTTATTTGAATGAACCAAGATATCATTAGGATCAAGTTCTAATGCTTTCGAGTAAATTTCTGAGCTTTCCTTGTACTTTTTTAGTTTATATAATTCATTCCCTTGTAACCTTAGCTTTTCCGATCTTTCATTATCCTTTTCAATGTCTTCATCTTCTTCATCGATTATCCCTTGAATGGCTTGGGGTTTTATTGTTTTTTTTTCTATTTCCAATCGTTTTTTTAATAATTTTTCTGCTTCTTCGATTTGTCCTAATTCTTTATAACATTTTGCTAACCTTACATATGCTACAGAATGTAATGTTGAATTTCCTGGTGCTAATTCTTCATCTATAGGCATATTCGGAAAACTTAAAAGTTTTTCGGCTTTTATAATAAAAATTTATTTATTAAAAAAAAATAATTAAATGTCGAAACGACAACAATTAATAGTAATAAGGTACCATCTTTTTTTGCTGTTTCATATTTTTTAAGCTGGATTAAACTAAAAAAAAAAAAAAAAATTAATCATTAGACCATTCGGGCATTTAAATACCGCTCTCATGTACACATACCAAGTACATCTACTTAAAAGTGGTAAAGGTGCATCAGGTATTTTTACCACAAGGTAATCGAAAATTTTTACAGCTTCATCAAGTTTATTACTCGCTATCAATTGCGAAGCTTTTTGTACAAGTTCTCGTCCACCAAGACGTTCCATTTTAAAATTTGCGAGAAAATGGTTCAGTAATTTATTGAATTTATTCGAAGTATCGCAATAAATGTCGTTCTACCCCCACCGCGTGATCAACGAATGAAAATTTGTATTACATAAATCCAATGACGCGAAAAAAAATTAAAATATTGTCACGATCATAAGTTGAAATCTTGATACCTTTAATTCTTTGATAAACACATCAGTTTGTTCTTTATTACCCTTCAATATATATCACGCATAATTTTCATTTTAACTCACTTATTGTCTAGCTGTCGTTTTTCCATTGTCTTTCTCAACTTTTGGTCATTTTAGGTTAACCAATTCGCGATGCATATATATTTCAAATCCGGCCTCATTTTGTCACAAATATTATGATTAAAGAAAATACTTATAATATGCCTTATAATAAATCTAGAAATAATTCTTATCTTGAACTCGCAAATATACTGTATACTATGATATTGTCGTAATCGTAAAAAGAAACTATATTTTTTAATTCAAAGTTCATTGAGAGCATAATAAATCATGCGTATTGCCAAAACGTTGATTGTATTCTAATTCTCAAAATCAGATTTCAGTTATTCAAAAAACTTTTTAAAGAATTATCTAACTTTTCTTTTTAAAAAAAAACCATACTATACAGGTACAAGTATGGATGAAAAAACCATACATACCTTACATACATTAAAAAACGAACCATACAGTACATACATTCTATACAGGTTTGTGTAATACCCGAACGGAGCTATGGCAGAGAATTCTAACATTCTAACTGTTTAGCGTTGGTACATTCAAGTAAATCTGAGAATATTGCCCCCGGGAGGTACTATATTAGGAGAATGGAATTAAAAGATTAAAAGGGGTAGTCGTCGATCATCTTTTATGGTGTGTATGTATATGTATATATTGATATGATTTTCATAACAAATAATTCATACTTGTATGGTTTCTAATTAATACTATCCATGTATGGAAACATACCATACTATATATATACTTTATACAAGTTCTTTTTTTATCAATTGAATTTTAACAGTAAACCTTACATTTTTTTTTTATTTTATAAAAAAAAAAGATTTCTTGATTGATACAATTAAATAAGATTAAATATAAAAATAAAGTTATATAGTATAAAACTGTATCATTTATTATAATTGATTATAATGATTTTTTAATTGATAAATCTGATATGATGTAATATTATTTAAATTATTTAAAAAATACTAAGATATAAAATTCTGAAAAGTATTGGTCAATGCAATAATAATTATTGATTATTTCGTACGTACGTACGTCACATTAAAATATTGTAATGGTTAAAGATAATAAATCATCAACCACGAAAAAACGTTAAATTTTATAAATTTTATTTATCCAATAAAAACGTGATATCGATAATCATTGCATGACTTTTGGTGGTAATAAATATATTACTGCATATGTCTAGTATAAGGCTTCACTGTCGATCTTGTCTTATGAACTTTTGTTGACCCGCTTATTATATGTGCCGTCATATTTCATATTTCTTACCATTATTAAAAACATTCCCCAAACAAATTTTTTTTTTTTTTAAAAAAAAATTTTTTGTTTTTTTACCTCTTTCCTTAACTTACCTATGGCCGAAAGTATAATCTATGAAGATACTCCTTTTGCCGATTATCTTGCCGGTATGAAAAGTTCTTTATTATCAGTAACTAACTTAGATCTTTCTAATGAATAGCTTTATTATAGAAATCGGTAGCAAAGAAGAGTTAGAAAAACAACCCGAGTTGTTTGAACTTAAAAGGCAGTTTTCACAGCACAGCGAGGTTCAAATGACGTTTTTCACGGAGCTTACATATAATATTATCGAGTATTTCAAGGTATATTTTTCATGATTTCTAAACCTTTTATATATCAATATGAATATTTTCTTAAAATCAAATCTTTCTTACATATGTAGGAAGCATTCTCAACGGCTCTTCCGATACAAGAAGAAAACCAGTTCGAAGAACGCTTTAAATATTTATTATGCACATCACACCTTTTAAACGATACATTGTCAATTTACTTCTATGACAGCAAAAAACCCAGCATAGTAGAACTTAGAGACGCTGGTTTATATGCCGGTGGACTTTCGCGAAGGAATTTTGAAGTTCTTTTCAGTGCAGTGATTGGATTAACGATTGTATTCTTGACATGGTTAATTCATGATGTAGAAGCCAAAGATCTAAAAACAACAATGATTCGTTTACCTGCTGCGTTCCTATTGGCTATGTTTGCTTCCTTTTTCTTATATCGTCGTATGGTAACTATGATTGATTAATTTTTTTTTTTTTTAACAAAACATAATCATCATATTTAATTGTTATTATTATTTTATTTTTTTATTTCTTAATTGAAATTTAGCGACGAAAAGCTGTCAAGACATTATATAACTCCGCATTACATTACATGGAAGCACTCGTGTACAATTGTCAAGCTCTCGATTTAAAAATGAATAAAGCGTTGATTATGATTCAAGAGATCGAGCTAGTGTCTCGTGGTTATAGATTGTATCCTTTTTTATGATATTAGTTGATTAAATGATATGTTGGTATATATTATATTATTTTCTTAACCTTAACTTTGCTGATATGTCAGATCAATGCCATTGTCTCCGATATCTCGTATAGAACAAAATTCAAAGAATCGACGTTGTCTTGCGCTTCGGGAGACTGTATATAATATTCTTCAAGAAGCTTTTTTAACTTATCGTAACGCTATAGTAGTTATGCAGCCAGAAATTTCAAAACATAATTTGAATATTATGTATAACATGTATAATATCATTCCAAGTAATGAGGATGATGAGTGGATTATGGAAGAAGAAAATGATATGCATTCTTTGGAAATTTTGAAATTGTGTTTTCAGAAAATGCATGCAAAACGTAGGGAGTGTCTGTGTCATTTCCTTGCGTTAGATGTAATGACACCGGGAAGAGATTCACATCGAAGAGATTATGAAAGTCATTGGGCTGCAGTTAATAATCACTTAAATAATTTGAGCATAGTCACCGGGCTTTTCTTGGAAAGAGTTATTGTTGCTTCTGCTAGTGAATTATGTATGTATATTAAAAAAAAGATTAATTTGTTAATTTGAATACTTTTGTTGATCAATTAAAACGCTTTATGGTTTTCTAGATTCCATTCCGTCACCTAAGCAAGATTTTATGTCCCAACCATCTCCCGCAATTATCACTAATAAATCTCTCAAGTCTTATCTTCATCGCCTAGCATGTGTAGAGCAACATATTCGTGGCGTTCAAGCCAAATTATACATTTGTAATGAAGATGCTCGTAAATTTTATGAAGCAAAAGGTGAATATCAATATATATATATACATATATATTATCGTAAACGGATAACCTAATTTATATTGTATATATAGACACGACCGTTGAAAATGAAAAGGAACGTCTATTAAATCAATACGAATCCATAAGCAATGATTTTAAGTTTATGTTTCAAGAATGGGAAGAAGGAAAGAAAGTGTTGAAGGAGATGATGGATCCAACACCGACAGACTCTGATTCTCTTGGGTCACGACAGTCTCTAATTGAAGATCTTGAACCTCCAAGAGATTCGAGTGAAGATGTAGGAAATAAGTCTGAAACGCCTCTCATTGATTGGACACAAGCCGATGAACCATTGGACGTACCAGCACAAGTATTTGAAGCAGAGGCTGAACCAGAAGTCATAATAAAGGTAAGGAATAAATAAATAACTATAGTATTTCTTTTATCTATTCATTAATACTATGCTTATTTCTTTTAGAGATTAACGAGAGAAGAAAGGATCGCAATTCAAAAAACCAAGAGATTACAAGAGGTACGAGTTAAATATATTTAATTATTCTTATTTGTAATTACTCTAATTAATTCTATATTAGTCAAAGGTAAGATCCGCACGTCAGGACACCGAACGTATGGTACATGAGTTGAAAGATGTATTAGTACGGCGGAAGCCTAGGAATTATCAAAGTGAGACGCTAAACACTTTAGAAGATTCCGAACGGATACAGTTGCACGGTTCCCGTGTTGTTATGTAACAAGCTAGAATGCTTTATATTCTATTTTTAATTTATCAAAACATGTTTTGTAAACCTTTACAACTCAAAATTAGTATCATCTCATAGACATTTAATTTTGAACAGTATATTATTTCTACTCATAATTGTTGATTATTATAATTCACCCAGAAAACATCACTTAATTTTAATCCATCCATTTCATTGTATAATATATTATATGTAATGTAAACAAGAGATTTTTTTTTGTTTTTTTTTTTTTTTACAATACAAAATTAATATTAATACTTAACTGTGAAATGACTGGTATAAGAATTTATTAACCAAAAAAAAAAAAAAAAAAAAAATCAGCCACCAAAAAAAAAAAGTTGTTTGTACTAGGTTTAATTAGACAAAGATAAAGAAATAATTCTTTTTACTTAAAATAATAAAAATCACAAAATCTTTAAAAATGATTTATTGGGAAATGATGTTATTATGGCTTATAATTAAGTTAGGTTTTTGATCATACTGTGAGGTAGGTATTAATTTATCTTTTAAAATTTGGGATTCTAATACAAGTGCAACTATATTTGTTTGTGTGTAAATTAATAATAATGTATAAAAAAAGAACCATGATTTTGTAATGCCTACTTGTTTTCGGAATCGGTTTATTTTGATCACTGTAGATACGTTGACATTTAGCCAAGTATTTATCATAATAACTTGATAAAAAAAGAATAAAGAACGTTTAAATTAATAAATTGATGATTAAAAAGGTTAATATATTAAAGATTATACATGTAAAAGTACCCCTTGCCATGTCCTAATCTATTTCCTTGCAAGTCAAATGCTAAACCTAAAAATCATTATGAATAAAAAAAATAACCAATAAATATCGGAACCCAATTGAACGTTTGATAATGATTTACCTGGCATTATTATTAAATCCAATTCGTTTGCTATATGACGAAT